TATATCAATCCAAAAACCTTTTAAAACTTCTAAATATATGAATCCGGAAACTTTTAAAGGTTTTTAAATTTTTATATTAAAAAGTTTTTAAAAGCTTTCTACTTTCATTAATAATATCATTTAAGTGGTTTAAAAATCTCAATAAAAATATCGATCGTTTTTCCTTTTCATATAAATTAAGAAGAAATTCAAAGACCTGCATGATGTAATTAGGTGCTCTTCTTATTAAAGCTATAGATTTTGACTATCAATTTATGAATAAATTTATAATTATTTGAAACATATTGTATTTTTTTATAATATTGTAGAAATTCTTCAAAATATAAGATTTCTTTTTTCTTAACTAAAATTTTGGATTTATGATTTAGAATTTAATGTTTTTGAATTTAGAACTTTTTCTTTAATTAAAATTCTGGATTTAGAATTTAAAATCTAGAGTTTTTGAATTTATAATTTAAAGTTTAGTGCTTTTTGTTTATAATTTGTTTTGGATTTAAATAACTTATATGAAAGTCCATAAATTATATAATTTATTAGATACACATATTTTATTTGACTTACTAAATATGAATAACCATTATGCCTGAAAAATGAAAAAAATAATTAAGTAATTTTATTTAAAAATAATTTTGAAAAGATAAAAAGATGTAAACAGAAAAACAAAATGCATTTAAAAACTCTCATATTTGTTTATATAGTGTCAAATAAATAAAAAATACAAAAATTATATCACAATTTATATTTTCAAGATAATATAAAACACATTTTTTGAATTTTATCAAATTCGAATATAATTTTTTTTAACATTTTAAATTATCTTACATTTATTTTTTGTCGTATCCTATTAAAATATTTTTTTTAATTACATCATGTTTAAAATTATACATGAGGATAACACTTTCTTAGAGATATAAATTTTATATATATATATATATATATATATGCATTTGAATAAATTGTTAACTTAAAAACATTTTAAATTTTTTTTTGATAGACTGAAAAGGAGTTGCGTTAACAGGGAAAAGAGGATATTCTTAGGTCCCAAAAGCATCCCACATATATGTATCTATTCCAAACCCTAAGTTGCCCATAAAAATAGTATTAAGGAATGATCATAGAAGACTGCATGGAATAATTTCAGAAGCCATAGACAATCGCCACTATATATTCTTTTAATCCTCGTTCTCTCTGCATTTTACGCTCACTTTATGTTCGGAAGCCAGTAATTTTGACAATTTTGAGATTTCCACTGAGGAAGTGCACATGTGAGTTTGATGCTGTTCCTTCTTGCACTCCAAAACTCTACCTATACACGCCCCTAGCGCTTGGTTTAGTCACTCCTTCAAGAAGCCTATACATCCAACGATCCAGCATTCCTGTTTTAATATCACAGAAAGTGTCATTTATTAACCAAAATAAGATCAAGAAGAAGGCATATGCAAATGGCAAATATCTTCTAACTGGTAACGGTATGAATAAGAGATTTTTTTTTTTTTTTGGGTACATAGGAGGTCACAGCTTAGGAATAGGAAAAAGATTACAAGTGCTGAAATTCAAACTCCGGATATAACTTTTTAACGGTGATCATATAAACAAACTGAACTAAACTTCAAGTCAATCAAATATTTGTTTCCGCATGAAACTCTAAACCTTTGAAATAAAGGAACCAAAAAATGTGGAGTTAGAGTTACTCAAAAGGTTCAAATCACAGCCAAACCCAGATTTGAACTTGTATAAAGTATTAAATTACAGCCAAACACTACATGATAATTTATTTTGACCAGCTAAGATTCTGCAATTTGACCTAATCAAACTTTAAGCAGCTTATAAACAACTTTGGATCGTTTAATAAGGAGAAAGGTTGCAAACCTGTTAAAGCAAACGTTCCACCCAATACTGCACAAAGTCTAGTGATGAAATGGAGAAAGCTTCGGCGCTCTTCTTTTATTGTCACAGTGATTGGTGACAGATCATACAAAAAGTAAACAGCTGAACAGAAGGGTAAAGTAATTAGTAACCACCAACCAAAAGCAGTTATAATGTTTACAAAGTCACACTTCCAACCAACCTGGCCATGTCCTATCAAACTCTTTCATAGTGGAAAAATATTCTGAAACAGAGAATTGATTTGTTGGCAAAATTTCCTTTGAGATATATCTGTACTCAGTAGGGACAATCTGCAATATAGTAAAAAGAACACTTGGATGAACAGAGACGTCAAGATTAAAACAACTAATTTCTGACGTCATAGAAGAAGATAGAGGCAAACCGATGATAGAAGTAGTATCAGTGAATGTACTGAAATGCAGAATGAAACAGCTTGTTACTATTTTAAGGAACTGGACGCAGTTCGAAAATTTGCAGCATATTTTATTGGGAAGTAGAAAAATTGTAAGAATATACTATGAAACTATACTTTAACAAGGGTTTAGAGTTTGGAGCATGAAGATAGAGCAGCAGAATGTAGCTGGAGATGAAGACCTAGCAATGCTTACAGGATGTTGCAAAAGAAAAGAATGGATAGGTACGAAAAATGTAGAAGGGTCTCCTTTTAAGTAAAGGATGAAAAGGATCAAAATGTAACAAGGTATTCTTTTTGCTTTGGAGATCATTTTTTGAACCAATCAAAAACTTTATATTGTGCCTCTTCCCAACCAATCATACAATGGCATAGTAATTTTTTGAACCAATCAAAAGCTTTATATTGTGCCTCTTCCCAACCAATCATACAATGGCATAGTAAGAGATGATATACAATCAGATGGTTATGTGGTAGATGACCACTAATATTTGGGCTCAAGCACTAAAAGAGAGAGAGAGAGAGAGAGAGAGAGAGAGAGAAAGCTGGGGAGGCTTTAGCTCTATTTTATAAACATAGTCAACCAATAAATACTATGCATAATTGGACCATTTACTAGATCACCAAATTCATCAACCAAAAGACAATTACCCAATCAATTTAATGCAGAAAACATGGGTGATCAATTTGTACACTCCAGTTGTAGAACTGTTTTAGGAGGGACAGTTCTAAGAGATATTTGCCTAATGTGACTTCCTTGAAAAGGCAGAGACATATTGCCATAAATCTTTGGTCAATAAAGAGAATGCTCGAAATTCAAACCTTTATGTAATACTTGAATGTTCCACTTGTGTCATGCAAAATCCGCACTGTACCATCAAGCGGGTTGTGAAGTCCAGGATATTTTGGCCCGAATGATAAATCATGAATCATATGACTTACATTGACATGTGTTGCTCCTCCAAAGATCTGTGAGCAAAGAAAAAAGGACTTCTACTTAATTTGCAGATGATAAAGAAAAAGCCATGTCAAAAAGAAACTAAATATGACAGTGGTATGGATATCCTCATAACTCTAAGCTCCAAGAAACTAATAGAGAAGATATTGTGTAAAAATCTAGCACATTCTTGCAAACTAGATTTAGAATTTTAAATTCCAAACTCTAACCAAAATTTCAAATCTTAGGACAAAATTGTCTGAGAGAACAAGACCTTTCTCTTAAGCCTTGACAGATCTTAAGATCAGAACAAGGTACTTACATTTGAATGAAGATATCAAAATCTCTAAATAAAGTCATCTATTGCCTTTTTTTTTTCTTCTGTATTACTGGAAAATTTTCAACCTAAAACCTATGCAGAGATCAAGACATGAGCATATTCAAGGATCAGAGGGATAATTCACTGATTCACACAAGCATGACATTATAAATTCAAGGAAAAAAGGAAAATGCTCGCTGAACACCAAAAGTGCCTATATTGCCTAATAATACCGAATTCAATAGATTGAAAAGACCAACACTTTAGATCATAGCCTACAGGAGAAATAAATTCCAAAATAAATCAAAGAGTTTGGAAATTTACAAAATCCCCTGATCAGATATTCAACCACAGCATTGTGTTCAATCATCTATCTCTGGAGTATGTGTGTTAAAAAGTAATGATTACAGTAAATTCAGAATTGAAAGATACACGTTAATGTATCAAGTACTTTGTGTCATAGCAGTTCAAGCTTTGGACAATGATATCTACATCTCCATAGTACTTAAAGTAACAAATGTCCCAAATGGAAAAGGTTTTCAATCTCCGAACTCAATGTAATACAAGTAATACTTATTTTGACTTGAATTGATTTCTTTTTTCTTTTCATTAGTTAGGGAGAGAGAGGAGGACTTAAACTAGGGAACTTGAATATGTTCATCTATTTTGAACTTTAATTCCCCTTCAACAGCAATAACTTGATCTAAGATTCTAATCGAAATGGTTTAACCTTTTCACAATGAATAATTGGGACAAAAGAATTTATCAACTAAACATATATGTTTTAAAAGAGCTGGTTGAATTAAATTCAACTCCTATGCAATGTATATAAAGTAATGAATAGGAAAACCTTATGCTACTAGTTATCTTGATGATAGCTATTAACAATCTAATGCATTAAAAGCAAAAGAAAAAGGAAAATCAGTCACACGCAGGTAATGATAGTGATTTTATTACATTTCTTCAAAATTTAAATTTTGAAGGTTTTTTACTAGAAGTTTTACGAATATAAACCTAATTATGTCGTAGGCTAATGGTATAATAAATATTCATTATTTTTTTCCATTAAAAGACAAAAATTAGGGTGTTTCTCTTATAGTAATTCAAATTGGTAAAAACAATCAGTCATGCAATTCACTAGTCAATCAAACCCCAAAAACAAGAACCTGCCCAATGAACTTCCATTACTCACAGACACATTCTAACCAAGGCAACGCTGAATACATGCATAATTGAGGATATGACATGAAATTAGATTACTATGAGAAAAGTTGCTAACCATTTGAGCAACATAAATGTTTAACCCATGGACTGAAATGTGGAAGTTTCCAGCTACCCTTTGAACATCTAATACCCCATAAACCTGCAGAAAATTTTGCATTAATAGACAGTTGTCCTTTATATTCTTTCATTTTTGGGGACCCTTTGAGGGCCCCAAAAATAAAAAATCATTGATTAGTTAAAAGGCTTATAAACTTAATAATTAAGGAAATTCTATAGGATAAATACCCGGCATCCTTCTCCATTGGCCAATGCTTGCTTCACCTTCTTAATCATATTTTCAGCTTCTTGATCAAAGCCGAGTGCATGAAGCTTCTTATCAGCATCAGCATCATCGTGATGTTCCTTCTCATCATCTGGTCATGTTCACTACAAGAAATTATTTATGATTTGACGCATTACATGACCACCATTTTTCTTTTTCTTTATATATATAACACATGAACCATAAATGACCTAAAAAAAGTTGTGACAAATCTATATCCATAGATTTATGCTTTAATGAATCCTAACAGAAACAAGCACAACCCCAGATTTATCTAAATAAATTCTGCTGAGCAATTAGGTCATTTTGACAAAATATATTCATAAAAAATCTAAACCTTGGAAAAGTGGCTCAAACACATATCATAAATATGGCTTAGTAATTGATCAAACATGCTTATGCATCATTTTCAAAGTGACACATCTTTCATTGAAGGAATCAAGCATGGTTGTTTTAGCATTTAATGCCTTTTTACATGGTGTTTTTAACTTATAAATTCAAATGTTCCATGTTTGACCAGAAGAGCTTCTCAATAACAGCAACAAGAAAAGAAACAAATTAACATGTTGGTGAGGATGCAGCTGAAAAGTTTGACCTTTTGCACCACTCAAATTTAGTTTATTAAAAAGCCTAATGACCTATACATTGAACTCAACCCTATCACCAGAAAGAAAGATTCCCCTTGTCAGCTAAAGAAATGAGGCTCTATCAAAAACTGCAACCCAAATAGACACAATCTTCCCAGATAAGTACATTCTTCAATGAAACTTCACATAGTACTGCAGCATTTCATTAACAATTATCCAGAAATATATCTGTAAATGACACACCCAGCCATAGTTCACAGCCTAATCTACAAAATTTTAATTCACAATGAAGGATTCCATGAATCCGTTACCTATATACTTATAATAGATACTTTAACACTTAAGCATATATCATTACTCCCCATCCCCTCTTTCCAACTTTTAAGATTCCCAACATCTTTGGCATGCTCTAAGATGTCTGGTATCAGTAGAGGGCAACCCTTGATAGAGACATGGTAACAGAGGATTATTTTAGGGAAAAAAGAAACATTTTATGTGTGTTTAATGAAGAAATATATTCAAGAGAAGCAGAGTTCCTGGTACAAAAGTTTGGAGATGGAAGCTCAACTACTAAGCTAGCTGCTTTTGCATGAATGCATCTTGAGGGGAAATCTGACCATTTGAAATCTCCAAAAAAGAGAAAAATTCATATGAATCTAACCTTTTGGTGCCTTTTATGGTTTTGTCTCTCCCCTTATCTCTCCTCTCCACCCCCCAACCCCAAAAAAATGGGAAAAAGAGAAAAGGCAGAGTATTGACTATCAGCAACAGGGTGCAAATGATGTTGCCTTCTTGTTACATATAATAATGTCCAGATAACATAAACATATATTGTGAACATGTATGAAGCCCCAAAAAGATAAATTAAATTAAAAACATGAGGTAGATGTACAACACCAAGGACAATACCATGCTTGTGAGCTGCATGCTCCTTTTCGACAAGGTCAGACAAATATTCAGTGCCAACGATATGACCGTGACTGTTCAGGCGAAGCTGCAGGAAGTCTAGCATGGTTAGCCATATAATAAACAAGGAAATGTAACCATAAATCCCACATTCATTTCTAAAGGAGGGAGGGAGGGCCTCTTAAGAAGAATATTGCATTCATTAGTACACGATTATCATCAAGACAATTAAGTCTTGCTGAGAAGAAGAAATTGTCTTACTTTCCATATGTTAGTATCAAGATCCACTTCGTGCTTGCCTGACATGTCAATGGCATCTACACTTACGACTGCAAAAATAATATGATAGATAAACGACCAACAGTCAATAGTCTAAAGAAGAGATAGAATCAAAATTTGCAAATAAAAGTAAGATTTCATAAAAAGAAATGTACTAACCATCACAAGGTAATGAAGGAAATGTCATATTAATGTGAATTGGAAGTGTTTCTCCACGTTTCAAGTCTACAGACATCTGCATAATACCTGTTCAGTTAGATCATCTCAACTAACCTTAATATCATACTACTAATGACATCACATCACTGGTTACAGAATTCCCTTAAAGGATTAACTCAACTAGAAAGGTTGAAGAGGAAATCACCTCGTTAGAGAACTTATGTTGCTTGGGTGCTCTTATTATAGAAGAGATTTTAGAAAAGCTGCCTTCATCGCACTTCAGGTGTGCTAGGCTTGGAAAATAACAGCATGTTGAAGTTGAAAGTTGTAGAACAGCAGAAGGTTTCACAGTTTATGTTTGAAATAAGGTTTGAATAAGTGGCGGTTTAGTGACATGGATTAGTTAAAATCTTATTGCATAATAATTGTATACAAAAAATGTTGGAATTGTTGTAAATTGACTTTAGTGTGACCAGTATTTGGCAGATCATAAGTTTAAGTAGTTTAGGGGAATATATAGATGTGAGTGCAGAAAAATCAGAAGACAGCAATGAAAGCATTTAGAATATTATTGAATCAAAAAGAAAGCAAAGAATTAAAGCATTCATTGTCTTGAAGAAGACCCCTACCCAAATGAGTATCCAACAAACAAGCAAATAACTTGGATGCCATGAAGAGAAAGTAGGAATTGCCAGAGAGAGGATAAACACAATTCTATCCATAAACATAATGCATACACAACTTACATAGATAAAAAAACCACCAAATCACTATAGCTAAAATTACACGAGCAAGATGTGTTCTATGGCAGCATCATTTACATCCCCCAAAGTTTGGCCAACCATTCTAATTCCTAGGTGCCATACAATATGAGCATATTTAAGCTGCAGACAAGTCTGATGAAAACTTGTTCTAGGCACAATAAGCCTCTATTGCAACCTTTGGAAAGAAACAGAAGCTCAGGACCTCGAAAATCTAATTGCAAACATTGTAAACATTTTAATTCGAGTTGATTCTATAAAATATAAAGAAATTCACACAAGGACAATGCCATTAGTCCATCCAAACAAATTCATCCACAAAAATAGCAACGCTAGTTAAAACTAAAAAAATGCAAACCTGATGAACAGTATACGTTGTAAGATAATAGGTAAGCTCGTGAAAGAACAGCATGGCCATTATTGCTAAACCAACGATCGACACTATAATAAAGAATTTTACCCAAAAAAAATTAATAATGGTTGTAACAAATAAGTAGCATCATTTTGGAGTTAAATAGAAATAAAAAAATTGATAATTCACCTAGTGCTCCCGATTGCGTCTTCTGCAACAAATGTTCCTCCGCACGAGGAAACGCATCCAGGCTTTTTATAGCTTGCTTCATGCCCATCTTCTTCGTTTAATCTATTTTCTCTGCGAAAACCCAAACAAAAGGTACATGAATTAATCAGAAACCTTTAATATTCAAATCAATTGGTTTAAATCAATTGTCGCACTTCTAACCTAAAAGAGATTAAAACGAAACTAAGATTTAGGGTTCGTTAGAAACATAAAATGAATTCAGGAGCGAGGAAAATTGAATTTGCAATCAGAGAACAGAGAAGCAAGAGGAAGGTCTCGTAGCAATAAGATTTCAAGTAGTAGAAAATGAGGAAAAAGCGCATACCAAATCAGGAGATTGGGCTGCACAGAGGGTGTTTTTTTTTTTTTTTTTCTTGTGTTTTTTGAAAAGCAGCTTCGAAATTTTCGTAAGGAGATGAGATGGATTTCCGTTCGCAGTCAACTCCGACGGCAGTAGCCACCTGGATCTTTTTCTATTTTTCCCACTTATTTAAACTAAATAGAATTTTGCTTTCACATTGCTATTCGATATAAGACAAATTTTTTTACTTAATAGTTTTTGAAATTGTTTATATATTTTTTTTCATATCTTAATGCTACAATTAATATACCATAATAAAACCGATTTCCAAATTATTTATATATTAATAATTAACTTTAATTAAACAATTTTTGTTCATATTAATCATATTATTATTAAATCAATTAAGATTCCTAAAAGTTTACTTATTATACTCTTCTATTTCATAAATATTATTTTAATTTGATTTTTGATGGTTACATTTTTTAATTTTTATTTTATTTTATTTTATTTTATTTTAAATATATTATTAATTATATTATTAAAAATACTTAATGACATGGTTTTAAAATATATTTTGTTATTTTATTCTTTATTCTTATCCTTTTTTTTAATAAATCATTTTTATTTTGCATCATACTTTAGCTAAAAATCACTTTTATTTTGCATCATACGTCTTGAAAAAAACATTTTATATTTAATACTGCAAACATCCACGTATGAATTCATTAATAATTTCAAGATTTTTTAATTTTAGAGGTGAAATATATGAAAATAAAAATGAGATAAATCACAAATACATTTCATAAAAATTCAAAATTACACATCATTAGCCATCCTTACCACCACATCTAAGTATAAATCGTAATTATAGTACGATAAAGAGGGAGAAGTTCAATTATATAACGTTAATTGTGATACAGTGAATCTTTCCCACCACCAAACGAACTTTAAGAATGTATTTGCAAGAGTAATTTATAAATTTTGAAAAAATTTAAAGTGAAAATATTTTCAAATGTAGTATTTCCAAATGCTAGTATTTGTAATTATTTTATTTAAATAAACAATTTTAAAAGAAATTTTAATCTATTAAAATTTGATGAAATAAAAATAATTATAATAAAATAACAATATTAAAAATAAATATATTTATATTTATATATAAAAATATACAATGTGTTTGATTAAATTTATAACAATAAATATGTCTAGTTACCAACCCAGTTTGAGGGCAGTGTCCTGTTCGAAATTCACTTTCAATTCATAGGTAATTACATTGAATTGAATTGAAACTTAAAAAACAGCTGAAAAAAAAATCAAATGGATTCTACCACTCAGGCATGGCTGGATCCTGACCTCAACCTTGTTGGTTGTGCCAAGGTAACTCGTCTGAGGTGACCCAAAATTCAAGTGAACTTAGAAACCCGAGTGATCCAAACTTATTTTGTTTCAGCCATTCGAAACCTTGAGAAATTAACAAGAAATGAAGAACCTATAATTAATTTTATATGAATGAATGCAAAAAACAAATGAAGATTTGTTTTCTAGGCATTCTGAACTTGCTTCAACAGCCAAGCTAGGTTAGCACAACATCATCAGAATTACCAAGAACTATTTATAATTCATTCCATCTTTTAAATGATTTCACCCATCCACTTTGTGCCTCAAATCTTATTGTCCAAATGAACTATAAATTATAGATACTTAAAATAGTTTCAAATTGAAACAGTTAACCCGGGTGCCAAAAATTAAAAAAAAAAAAAAAATCAATGACAGAAAAGTCTTAGGAGATAATCTAATCCAAATTCCACATTCTTTAATCACACTGTAACAAGATGATCTAAACATCCATCAAAGAAAACCAAGAGGGAAGGCCCTTGTCAGTGTGTTCAAAGATTAAAAACAAACCAAAACAATGGTGAAATGACACTCATTCTGAAGCTACAGCTTCCAAAGGTTAATGTTCCAATTGTTTGGTGAGTATGTAAAACCCCCAAAAATCAACCACAATTAGCTAAGTTCCACAAAAATAATTTGGACGGAAGGAACAACTCAACAAAGACAGAATTGGGGAAGTAAAGACATGAAAACTTAAGCAAATATATTTTGGATAAGAGTTTAAGACACAACACCTGTAGGAATGGATTGAGAAAAAGAAGACACGGTGGATGGGACAGTTTCCCCAGAATGAATCATTTTATGAAATCCTATTCACAATACATGATCAGACAGGAGATTTTATTGCTTCACATATAATTAATTTCAATATCAACGGCCAGCATCTGAAAATATTCCCATTACAATAACTAGTAAATATTAGTTGACTTAAAGCTTAACAGGAGAGGGGAGAGTAAAGGGAGTTGGGGTTCTCCCTCTTCCCAACAAACTTTCACGTGCCACAAAAGAATCCTTGTTTATCAGTAACTGTTTCCCACTGGAAGCTGTCACTTGAATGGCGCCTTCTTCCCTGCCATTCCAAAACAAATGTACATGAAAACCAAAGGTATCGTAGGCTACAACAGCCTGTGGATAACATCCTAGTAAACGGGCAAGGCAATGTACCAAGCACCTTAGCAGCCTCGCAGGTATCAGTAATCGAATAGACATAGCACCTGAAAAAAGAATCATGTTGATGCACTGAATGCACTTTTTGTCATCAAAATAATGCGATAGAGCAAAATGATGATAGGGCCTCAGAAAACACACAACATCAGCCAAACTTTATAAACTCCATTCACAAAAACTACTTTTGGGAAGTCACTGCATTTTCCAAAGCTTGGCTTTTGGAAGGCACCAAAAGAAAAGTTAGGGGAAAATAATAGAGGAAAACAACTTCCAGATCGTCACTTCCCTCTGAAGCCCAAAATACAAGAAATAATCATTGTTTTAGAACAATGGTCTCAGACAGACCTTCCCCCCTCTTCCCCACGTCACATTTCTTTTAGATTGCCAACTTGGCTTGTCACCAATGCTCACCGCCTGCTTCCACTGGTGACAGCCATCTTTTCCTCCAACCACCAAACTCAAAGAAAGAAAACACATTACCCACCATCAAATTATAACCGAAAACCGCAAAGAAAATACAATCCAATGCCAAGGCAAGCAAAAATGAATAACTAAAATCATGATGGCATTTGTGTTTGCTTGTGTTTTTTATCAATGAAATTCATTTATTTTCTTGAGGCATGGCATCAGCCAAACAAAGACTTGGTAATCTCAATATTATCAGCCAAGCATATTTAGTTAACATGTATATACTGCAAGATCTTCCATGAGCTAAGTTTGGATGAGAACTGTAGCATACACTAGCCCATCAACTTTACATTCTATGCAATGGCAGTTTTCCACTTCTACAAGACAAGAAACCAAGAACAGAAGAGAGAAAATTCTAATATCTAGTAATTGTATGCACACTAAATCTAATCCACTACAATTTTGAACGCTTCATGAGAGAAAACCAATTTCACACAAACCTGAGTGAGGATTAGCATTAAGAATACATAGAAAATTATGTGGCCCTGGGCAATCTTGCAAAAATGTATGTACTTCAAGATTGAAGGGTAAAAACTTAATTTCAAATTGCAAGAAAAAGGTGCAAAAGAAACAGAGAGGGAAAGTTCCTAGCTGTGTTTGCCTATATCATGTTTACCTTAAAAGAATTTAGAAGGGTCTTCTTCCAGTGCTCTGATCATCATCAACATTGGAGCCCCCAAAGTTGCTAAAATGACTAAATTGAGAATCACCATGGCTGCCACTGCGTTGGCCTGCACGATTGTCACCAAATCCACCAGAACGACCAGAACCAAAGCTCCCAAAGCCACCAGCATTTTGACCAGATCGATTGTCACCAAATCCACCTGGATTGCCTGAACCAAAGTCCCCAAATCCACTAGTACGTCTAGTACCAAAGCTACCAAAGCCACTAGAACGATCTGATTTACCCAACTCTCCAAATCCACTTCGATGACCGAATGCAGGACCACCAAAGTTTCCAGACCGATTATTAGAACCAAAGCGACTAGAGCTAGATCCTCCATAGCCTCCCATGTCATCAGAAAACTGACCACCCCTACGACCAAATCCAGGACTCCTATTGCCTCCAGGACGGCCAAATCCATATTCTCCTTGTCTACTAGAACGACCAAAACCCGTATCACCATATCTACGATCTCGTGTACTTCCAAATGACCCAAATCGACCACCAGTACCCATATCATTGAACATGTCTGTGCTCCCACCATCAATCTCAATCCTAGGAAGCTAGGATAAATTAACAAGTGATCAGTCCATGAGTTCAATCCATGAAAACATAGAGTAACATAGCAATCAATGTCAAATTCATGTACATCTTTCAGGTACAATACTCATAAGCACTACAATCATAAACATGGGAATTTGATTGATTATGTACATCTCCATCTATCAATATGGCTACAATTGACATCAATCCAACATTTAAACCAGCATCCTTCAACTGAAATTAGAACGGTATGTGAGCCAGCAAGAACAAAACAGATAATAAAAAATATTTTTTTTGCTGAGCAACATAAACTCTCATCCCTGTACAATGGAAACCTGGCATGTCCAATAGATCCATATAAGAACTTATAGTCTATGCATCAAAGCTAAGACAGAGTGATTCATTTTAAAACAGCACAAACCTCAGTGCCAAGAGGCTTGAGTACTTGACTAAGAACAGTTCCAAATATTATCACCCCCCCTCCCCACAAAATAATAACAAACCTTTTGATCATTCCCTCCAGTATATTGGATGATATATAAAGTTATGTTAAAACTTATAATTGTTTTCCAAATCCACAACTAAATCCAAACCAGTTTATAGTAAATATACTATTCTCTAATTATTTAAAAGCCAGACCATGTATTAAACTAGTGAGGGAGGCAGGGCCAGGTTAGAAAGACAGTTCAACATTTTCTTCTTTTCTATGGTAAACTTTTTTCCTTCTTTCCATTCTAATGATGATTTTGATTTTCAAATGGGGAATAGTGGGTCTCAATGGTGGAAAGAAACAAGGATCTAGTAAATGGAAGCTTATAGATACTTACTAAATTTAGTTAAATACTTAAATTTCTATTTTAGGAAACTTTTTTCATTTACTGCTCTATTCTCACCAAATTCAAGAAAAGACAATACATCACCTTAACAAAAGCCAATAGGAACTCATTAACATTTCCCAAGAAACAAAGGCTGAATCTCACACCATCCATGCTTTAATTCCTTCGGAATTTGAGATTTGAAAAGAAAAATGACATGTATAAAGCATTAATTGAAGCTTGACTACTTAAGACTAGAAATTTGGGGCAAAACTTTAAAAGAAGTGCTTTAAGAATCAAAACAGATTGACCAGTTTGACCAGGAACTGGTAAGGTCTTTTGTTCAGAGGATATTATTAAACTCGAACCAGAAGACTGATTAAAAAGGGGACAAAAACAGGGGTAAAACCAGTTTTGATTACATAAGAAGAAAAAAGGCTGAAATAGCTTTAATGTTTTAGCCAGCTCCACTTCCAAAAGGCTAAAAGAGTCTCAACCTTGATTTTTTTTTTTTTTTAACTTTTGCCAGCCCTACTTAAAACACTTTCACTTTACCTTTTAAAACTTCCTTAACTTTCCTAACAAGATCCGAACATATGGATTATCAAAGTTGTAAGAGATATTAAAAAACCATGGTTGTAACCCCCCCTCCCTCCCCCCACCAGAAAAGATAAGGGAAAAAGAAAAATTGAAAACAGACATGCACATCAAAAGGGATACAGGATAAAACCTCAGAAAATCTACATCCTACTTCTCGCTCAATAACCCTAACAGCCCTACTCTGCTCTTGAGTGTAGATAAGAATTGCACTTCCTTTCCTTCCAGCACGACCAGTTCGGCCAGTTCGATGAACAAAAGTTTCAGACGTGTTTGGAAGCTCATAATGTATTACCTATGTAAGAATATAAGGTTAATGAGAAACATTTAAAAGTATAATAAGGAGAAAAAGTTAGTGGCTTAAATGGGCCTCAGACTATTCACTATATTAATTATTGGACATCAAACATCAAATACTATAAGCTTATAAGAAAAAATGGCCTCATATACTAGTTTTGTATAACTTCAAAAAGCATGAACTGAAGCAAATGAAGGGGAAAGAAAAGCAAGAATTTAGTGCAATTTTTAGAATCCACAATATCAACACATGCAGAAGCCTTCTTTAAAATGATGCTAGAATATACAAAACACAAGCATCATGGGAATCATCACAGATTCCAAAAGAGAATAATACTTAGAAAAATCATCACTAGTAATTAGCAGTTCGGTGACAAAATAACAGCATGATTATTTCCTTCATAACTTCCTATTTTAACATACAGAATTTTCTAAAGATGTCTGCATGATTTGTATTATTTCAACAATTAGCAATTATGGCCCGATACAACAAAAATGCCTAAGTAAAAGGCCAGCAAGCAATTGCAAACAGAAAAAGGCAAAATATTGTAACCAACTACAATAAACCATAAGATAAATTTTTGCAACAGTGGATAGGAAATCCATACATCACAAATCATTTAGAGCAGATAAAATCTTCTAGGATGTCACATTGAACAGACTCATAAGTAGCTTATCCTTAAAGAGGTACCGTGACTAGGAAAACAACAAACCAGACACATATGGCATCATGAGCCGAAAATATCAATTTATCATTGATAGTCAAATCAGAAAACAATAATGTCTAATAAAACCAGCTAAAAATGGCTGAAAGCAATGAAAGAAAATAATACGTAAAACTAACCAGGTCAACACTAGGTATATCAAGACCGCGAGCAGCAACATCAGTAGCAACTAAAATATTGAAATGCCCATCTCGGAAGCCTGAGAGAGTTCTCTCCCTCTGGCTTTGTGAGATATCGCCATGCAAAGCCTCACATCTAAAGTTTCTTGCCATGGCATATGCCAGCCGATCAGCATCACGCTTTGTTTGAGTGAAAACAATACACTTTCCTCCTTTTGCATGCTCCTGACAAAAAGGATTTGTGAGAGAAGAAGAAATGATAATCAAGCAAAAACTATAATGTGTTTCAAATTGGTCCAAAACTGAAATCAAAAAGAAAAAAGAAAAGAAACCAAAGAGATAAAACTGCCAAGCAGGAAAACAGACAAACCCTAATGTCATGATCCTTACTGTTATTAAAGGACCAAGAATTGATGCTTTTCCATGCATATCTGCTGCAATCGAATATAAGGAAATTCCTTCTGCCAACTTTTGATCAGATTCTCCAACCTGCAGGTGCACATAAGCCACAAGAAATAAGCAGTGCTATTTGTATGTATCTTTCCCTCTACCACAGCTTATCTTCATCATTAAAAAAGAAAAAGAGAAAGAAAAAATAAAAATGGATTTCATCCTTGATTAAATGTTAAAATAATTTTAAAATAACCAAAATTTCAGCAGCGGCATATGGATTACAATTTCACAATTTTTAACATGCTAAGCACAGATTTTTAGATCCCTAAATTTCCATATATAGAAAGCACTCACCAAAGAAAGCATCAATACAATAGGAAAAGATTTGCTTGAAACAAATAGATGGGATGAACCAATTACTAGACGCAAGAAATAATAACCATGAGCATAGGAGATTGGTCAAATGTAGATATGCATGCTAACCAGATCAATAGTTAATGGATTTTTCAAGTGCTTCTGGGTAAGGCTTTTGATCCAATTAGGCATTGTTGCTGAAAACATCATGCTTTGACGATTTGCAGGCAACCTCTCCAATATGGTTTCAACATCCTCGGCAAATCCAACTTGAAGCATCTGATCAGCTTCATCAAGAACAAGAAATTGAACCTCTGTTAAGTTGAGAGCACCTCTCTTAAGCAGATCGATAATGCGGCCAGGTGTACCAACAGCTACATCAACACCATAGTCAAGTTGCCTCATTTGGCGGGAAATTGGTGTACCCCCATAAACACAAATTGAATCCAAGTTGGGGGCAGACTCATGAAATTCCTTCTCAACTTGTTTAGCAAGTTCTCTTGTTGGTGCCAAAACCAAGCACAAGGGGTTTCTACCACGTCTGCATAATTAACATAAAATGAAATGTATGATTAAAATGAGAATAAAAATTGCCCATAATCAACCAACAGTTCAATCTTTCATGTGGATAAAAGAATCAAATTAAACCAATAAGGTTCCGTGCAACTGTAGGCTTGCTATTTACTTCTTCTTCCTCAAAAGTTGTTAAAAACTAAAAGTAAGCATTAAAAAGCTAAATTATGGTAGTATCATATTATAACAATTTGATAAAAAATGAGCAAATGGGTAAAGCGTAAAACAAATTAAAACATAGTTTATTCCTAATAAAAGCAAAGTTATACATTTCGCTATGCCAAAACCTTTTGTAACCAAAAGAACCTTTTTAACTTTTCATTTCGAAAGCAAAACAAGCAAGTAGCAAAAGTTACAGGAAACTTAAGGGGGTGCTTGGTAGAATAAAAGAGTTGATGAATGGATAGGGGGAGTGGGAAAGTGATAAGAAAGAAAATAGAAAAAAAAATTATCATTTCCCCCTTTATTCACAAAAACAAATCATTCCAAATTGAAAAGATAGGGGGAGAGAAAATAAGAGAGTTGTGAGCAAGTATTCCATACTTTCATAATTACAAGATAGTCTATCATGTTTAGATTTTACCTTTTATCCTAACTTACAATGGATATAATGTTAAAATAATATAATTTTTATTTTTTTCTTTTCATTTTTCTACTCTACCGAGAGAATGGATGGAAAGAAAATTATATTTTCTTTCAATTCTTCCATCTTTCCTGCCAAGCACAGCAATGGAAAGAAAAATATATATATTCTCCATCTTTCCACTTTTCTCATCTTAAAATTTTCCATCTTCTCATTTTTTTATCACCCAAGCAAAGTCTAAGAGTAAGAGAAGGAAAACAAAGTAGACAAACCCATGTTGAGCATTGTATCGAATGATTTTGTCCATAATAGGAATCCCAAAGGCAAGCGTTTTGCCTGTCCCTGTCTTAGCTCGTCCAATCATATCCCTTCCTCGCATTGCGGGTTCCAAAACCGCTCTCTACAGTCGAAAAACAAAGGAATAAAAAAAGCTCAGGAAATTTAACTCTTTTTGTTTCGTTAAAAGCTAAGAGACTAAAACAAAGTCAATATATATTTAATTTTACCTGGATAGGAAATAATTTGGTGATACCCCTACTTTTCAAAGCGGAAACAATCTCCGGAGCAATCCCCAGATTACAGATCTCAAGCCCATCACCTCCCTTCTCTTCATCATAATCCTCGACGGCATACTCCGCCTGCAAGCAGGGCGATGCCCTGAAACTCAACGGCCCTGATTTGGCGTGGAAACCACTAGCCGCAAAGCCCGGCAAGCCGGAGAAGGGCTTGAATCTGTCAATAAAAAGAATCTCAGCATTTCTAGTGGTGGCTGCTGCTGCTGTTGTTGAGGGGAAGTGGTGAAGGAGAGTTTGGGCGGATGCCGCGAGGATCCGCTTGGAGGCAAAAGAAGCTGTGCGTTTTAAGACGATGTTCATTTTTTTCTCTGAAAAGTTGTTCTCTCTAACAGTTTAGTAGAGACCTTTATTTTTCGGGGTTAGGGTTTTAGATATGCACATTGGCGGAGGAGGGGTTTATGACTTTGTAATTAATTGTATTTTTATTTGATTTTTATCATTGCCTATATATTTGTTGGGTCTCCCGTCCTCTCGTTCGGCATTAGTTTTGCAAGAGGAGTGCTTCTAGATGCCTCTTTTTTTTTTTTTTTCACATTATAATTTTTTTAAATTTTTTTATAAATAAAATTATTTAATTTTTTTTCTCACAATTTTTTAAAATTTTAAAATTTTTTTAAAATTCATATAATTTTTTTGAAAATATATTTTGAAAATGTCAAATCTTTTTGGACATAGATTTTAAAAAATTATAAACATTTTTTGAAAATTTAACTTTTAAAAAATTGATTTTCAAAAAAATTTATAATTTTTGAAAAATTTATTTTCAAAATTTTGTGTAAAAAAATAATTAAGTAATTTTATTTACAAAAATTAAAAAAATAAAGTACAAAGAGAAAAAAGATTGAGACATATTTAATAGCATTTTTATAAGATTATACACTTGCAACTATAACTATAAGTACTTTGAATTTTTAATTTTAATGTTTGGAATTCTAACCATTTCAACAATTTCAAATACACTTACAACTTTATTTATGCCATGGCAGGGAGGTTAAAATACCAAACCATAAATGGTTTCTTCTTAGAAAAATTATATGATAACATAATAGATAACATTTTAAGATTTCACTTATAAAATTAAAAAATTATCAATCTAAAAATAATAATAAAATGAAATAAAATAGAGTTTTATCTTCCTCAAATCTGATCCATCTTTATATATTTTCGTCACAATGTCACTTCGACTTTGATTATTCTTTTTAATAATTGACACTAATTTGAAAAATATTCAAATAACATGCATCACCTCAATTTGTCTCGAAATTTATTTTTATTAGAAGTAGACATGTAGCTTCGTTGTCCGAAGGAGTTAACAATTTATTACAAGTGATAATTTAGCAATGAAATAAATAAAAAAAAAAGTATAATTTAAGCCCAAGCTTGAATAAAAAGGTGTCAAATTTTGTATACCACACATGATAAATAGCTTTTAAAAACGAAAAATTTATCCGACAATTAAATAAAAAGTTAATTTTACTTATAATCTTTTTTATTATAATCATACTGTCATTCAATTCAAATAAAAACTTATATAATGATTCAAAGCTTTTAATTTAGTGATTAAAAATATTTGAAAAAATATCGAGAGTCTGATTTCAAATCAGCTCTCTTCCCTTTCTTCTTACTTGTATTAAAATTTTATCTTTCTAATGTAATCCAAAAAAAAATTTATATAGTGATTTATCATTTATAAGTGTGAATTTTATATAAAATTTTAATGAATCTTATATAATTTTAAATTATTATTAATTAATTATATGTGATATGCTACCTTAAATAAAAAGTAAACGATGAGAATGAAATATAATTTAAAAAAGAAAAAACCAATTGTAGATTACGTTTTTTAGGTATAAATTACGTTTTCTAAAAAAATCGTAGTTTATATATGTTTTTTTTTGTTTTATCCGATTTATAACATATAAATTATTGATTGATTTATTTATTTAATATATAAATTATTCATTTATCTTTTATTTTTTTATTATTTACATTTTAAAGTAAAATAAATAATTTATATGTGAAATAGAATATATTTTCGTTAAAAACATAATTTTTTTATGTAGACTGCATTTTTGTAAAAAAAAAAAATCTAGTCTTTTTTGTTGTGGATTTCAACGATTTATATGTTAAATAAATATATAAATATATTAAATAATTATTTAATTAACATGTTAATTAAATAAATAAATTTTATATTAAATAAACCAGCCCTCATTTCCATAATTTTTATTTTTCAAAATGGAAGTTGAACACATTAAAAAAAAAATGGAAGAAGTGTTTGGGAGAGTTCCACTTGGCTACGAACGGGAACTCCATAAAACCATTTTTATTGTATAACTAGTGCGGGCAATCTAGCTTCTTAATTTATTAAACATTATGCAATTTCCAATCATTTTAAGCATCAAATATATATTTTTTCATCTTATGTGCATAAAAAAAGAATAGTTCGCTGCAATTAATTATAATCTTAAAAATTGGATAAAAATAAAGGTTAAAGATAAGTTAAAAGCAAGAAATGTCATGAGATAGTAAACACTGATAACAAAATTAGTAGCATGTTTGTTATTTTTTTTATCAAAGTAGTATGCTTTATGAGTAAATAAAATATATATTTTTATATGAATTAATTATAGTATTATGTAAATTTATGAAAAATAAATAAATAATGTATTAATTAGAAAACTATTTGATAGTGTTTTCTCATCGTTGCAAGCATAGTTCATGTCATGGCATGAAGTCGATGACATGATGTACAACTTAAAAAAATAAAAGACATAATATCCTCAATGCATTAACTCTAATCAAAGTCATAATAAAAGTTCTTTATGACAACTTGCTATTAATTAATTTTTTTTTTTAGATAACTTGTTTCAAGGAATTCAAAGCCGCAAGTTTAAAGAAAAATCTAAATGATTGAAATCCAAATGAAATTGAATGACTAAACATTCAGATAAAAGTTTCCATCAAGCTAAACTTTGTGGGTGAAACTAAAAGATTTAAGGACATCCTTATTAAAGTGGTGAACTATAATTAATATTATCAAGATTTGCCCTTAAAATCAAAGCCACATATAATGTCTAGGAATCAAATATGTAATATTTTAATTATATTAAAAGTAACCTTGAAAAAAACATTTGGAAAAGTAACTATAGAAAAGCATGTATGAAAATATTGTATTGACATGAAAAATACTAAAATAGAGCATTAGTTATATTCATATTCATGTAGGACATTAGACAATAAAATAAAGTAAACTGGCAAAAGGGATCTCTGACTAATTAATGGATATCAACAATTTTTACTGCAACCAATCTCAATTATTGAATAAGACAAATGAACGAAGTTGGAAAAATTTTCAATCATTTCTAATTTGATAGTGCCCTTAATAATAAACAAAAGGTTCAACAAAATAAGGCTCTGACCTCTTTAAGTTCAATTCTTTAAGTTAAGCTAATAGCTTAATAGCAATTGGTTGATTTTTTTTTTAGGCATTGTCTTATTTCCTGAAGGTCATAATTTGGTAGTGCGTAGCATAATATAGTAATACATTTAAGTTAATGGTAGTATTTGATTCTTGAAACAATCATGTGATGAAAAATATGAAGTATAAAACGAAATGCAACAAATTTTATTGTTTTAAATAATATAAGTACTTAAGATTAAATGCCCATGGTTTCAAAACTCAAGATGCATGTTAAAAACAAACATAAGGCTATATAAAAAATTACAAATCTCTCATTCTTAAAACAATCCTATGGTGACAAAATATAAAGTAACCAAATGTAATAAATTTGCTTTTCCTAACAATATAATTAAATGCTTGTGATTTCAAGCACTAAAGATGCAAAATTACAAATTCCCATAAATTAAACCTAAAACCAAACTAAAACTTTTAAGGATAAAGAACTATCACCAATCAAATAACAAATATTCGTATTATAACCATTCAAAGAAAAATCCAAAATTTACCAAAATCAAGTAAAAGAGAATATGAAGTAAATCCATTAAAAAAAAAGAATATGAAAGAAAAGGAACATACAATTTGCCATATGCATCTTAATGAACTTAAATTATTTCCTTTGTGAACTTTGTCTTTAAAATGCATCAAATTCTAAATAAATCCTGAAAAAATATATTAGAGGCATAGAAATAGGATACATAAATAATAATTTTAAAAAATAAATTGCTTTTAAAACTTTTTTCAATGTATATTTAGAAAGTGTAAAAAAAAAAATCGATCAAACATGATAATGAGTAATTAACAATAAGAAGTCAAATTGCCTAAGAGATTGGCATGTTGAAATTGTGTTAATAATAATGCTTAACACATAAATTGATAAAAAAAAAAAAAAAACCTGACCTTATTTTCTGTAAGTTGAACATTTTCTTTTGCAATCTTTGAAGTTTGTCTCTCTACAATGAACCTTCCTCTCAAGCACTCCATAGTCTTCAATCTATCATTTATTTCCATTTAATAAATAAGAACTTTAACATGAAATGAATAGTTAGAAAGCATAAGTCCAAAGGTTAATAAAAAGAATAATTTAATACAATATTAGTCAATAAAAAGAAAAAAAAATTATTACTCATTGGAAAACATAAGCAACTAAAAGATGCATTATCAACAAATGTCAAAATGGTTAATTTTAAAAGGTCAATCAACTAATCAAAGTAACATGCAAAAATTTTTCTTACCTCGATAATATTAGTTCCAATAAGGGAGACCAGCTCAATTCAGAGTGATAACTTTGCATCCAATTTCAAAAAGCTGTGACAAAAGATAAATTGATTATTATTATATGTTTTGGAAGTCCTTTTACTTACATTTGAACTAGAAGTCCCAGATAGCTGCTACCAAAATTAAACTATCATTCAAACTTATCATTCTTGATACAATCAAAATAATTCTGTTAATCATTTTGGCACCTAAGTGACAATTAAAAAGACAATTGAAAATTCAACTTTCAAATAAATCATTTATCTGATCAAATAAAAATAAAATACTTTCGGTTACAATAATAATTTTGTAATGAAATCTAAATAACAATAAATTAAGTTCTCCTTATGGTTGTGGTTTTCTTGATTGACCATATCCATAAAAAAGTTAATAAAATGGGCTTAAAAAAGTAATAAATAAAATCTAATGACCTGGAATAAGTTGTTACCAATCTTTTAAAATGATGGAACAAAATTAATAGAACATCAGCGGCCACCTAAACCATGTAACACATCACCATGGGCACTCTTTAATGTCATGCCTTGTTCCATTGTAATATTCGTTGCGAGTTTATCCTGGGGAAAACAAGAAATAATCAAAGATTGTGTAAATGAAATTAATTAAGTTCAAAATTAAATAAATTAATGAATAATAGCAACAAATTCTATTATCCCTAAAATATTTCTATGGATAAGTTCTGGAGCTTGAACATGATGCATTGGTGAGTTGTAATTGGTGTG